CATGGTAACAGACTTGCACCGCATCTGCCTTATGCTGATATTATACACGTCAGGATGACGACAGACTGGTTCGGGCTTTTACGTAACACGCCTAATATCAAGCCTATAGTGACCAAACTCCGAGTGCACGCACATTCGCGGCTGCTAGCAACTGCACAAGCACCAATCTCCCTATTCTGATCTGGCCAATGGTCGTTCTGTGGCCGCCTCACACATGACCGCGCAGTAGGCGCTGTGATGACTCCCGCACTCTCACACTTTGGATGCCAGCCCCTCGCGGATGGTCGTACACTCGTCCGGCTGTCAACGTCCTGCGGCCTATTCCCCATTACATATGCACACAGTGCGCTATTCCTGTCACCTGGTGAATAAAATAATCTCTTTCCCCATCAAATAAGGCCTGAAGATCGCAACGGCAACAGTTCTGTCTATTAGTGTAACCCACCGCGATATGAGCTAAACTTGCAATGTCTAGATGAAACTGAACTCTATCATCATAAATCACTGTGAGCCCATCGAGCCTAGGTCGTGGTTCCTTCCAAACTAGCAGACACTTTATAGGTATGAAAGCCAGACCTCTTTTCCAATCTCTGATCTTATCCCTAATATCAACAATATCTCTCATCCCTCTATCCAATTACTACTGACACGGCATACTAATATGCCCTCGAAGGAAAAATCAACCACCGACTTGCTCCAGCCGCTCCTTCAACCTAGCACACTCATGCCAGTTACAAGCGCGCAGGTTATTCACAGTTTTACTGTTGGTACGTAACTCACTCATTAAATTTAACTATTCTTCCTCCTTTCGGGTTGTAGTTTTTCTCACGAATTCATTTCTGTGAAGGGAGCGCCGGTAGTGACCCAATTCCGGGTGCACATGCATTCGTGACTATAAAAAACGGTGCAGGCAACAATCTGTCTACCCTGGTATTTCAAACCGTCTTTTTGTGGCTGACTCACACCTGACCGTGCTGTAGGTGTTGCGATTCCTCGCGCCGTCTCACAATCGCGGCTGCAAGTGCACTCGCCTCACTGTTAAATTCCTCCTATCCGTTGTACACTTCATGTGTACAGGATACACTATCCCTTTCACCTAATGCTTCACCTAATGTTTTTGCAGAAGGAACCGGGCCTGGAAGTCGCAACGGCTAGGACTTTTCCTATTAA